GATATGCGAATAATTTCTATTCAATAAAAATATCTCTTTTTTTATTTCTTCTTCATTTTGCAATAAGAAAAATTTTTATAGTAACAAAAATAAAAAATACAATTGTAATTTATTATTAAGAATATATATATTAAAATAAAAAATACTGTACAATTATGAAAAAATAAATATTTTATAAAATATTTAAATATATGAAAGTCAACAAAAATTGAATAATATATATCATTTCATATCAATTGAAATGTTATTTAAATGTTACTTTCCCAAATAGTCAAATATATCAAAAATAAATTTTGCAAAATCTATTACTTTATAAAAATTCATATCCCGATAAATGACGCTATATGATTTTTAATTCGTATTTTGAAAAGCACCCTACTAGATGACGCTACTAACAATACTTCTCTCTTTCTTCTTTTTCAACACACATGTTCATCTTGGTGCATCTCTAGTCACAGAGAGAATCAATCTTCTTGAATCTTGTTTGGCGTGTTTTTAAGTCGATAGATTAGAGTAGATTGAATTTATATAAAAGCAAAGATGGAAACAATTTTGGAACAACAACGACGGTATCATGAAGAAAGAGAACGATTGATGGATGCAATGGTGAAAGAAATGTTGCATAAAAAGGCAGGCCATCGCGAGAATATTAATTCAGAACATCGGTTAAAGATGTTACTAGATCAATTTATGGATAGTACAATGCATTTGCAGGACTTGTATGAGGACAAAGATGGACAGAGAAAAGAGGAAGTATGGCAATATGATAATAAACAATATAATAATCAATTATAGATATGGGTTATATGATATAGGTTATATGATAACAATCAATGATTTTTACTCTTCTCCATAACTGCTATTTTATTTATAAATATATTTCATCACTTTATTAAATTTTAGGTGCAAGCTCTCTCCGGTCCAAATGAATTCTCAGAATTTTATTCACGCTTGAAATCCATAAAAGAATTCTATCGACGACATCCTAACGAAATCAGTGTTCCCATGTCTGTTGAATTCGAGGAATTGGCTAAGATGAGAGAAAATCCAACCGAAGAATTGTCCAATCTTGTCGAATTTACAGATGAAGAAGGTTATGGAAAATATCTTGATCTTCATGAATGCTATCAGAAATATATCAATCTTAAAGGAATAGAAAAGATAGATTATATAACTTACTTATCGACATTTGATCATTTGTTCGATATTCCTAGAGAAAGAAAAAACGCGGAGTATCAGAGATATGTCGAATCTCTTTTAGGGTACTTGACAGATTATTTGAACAGAGTCAGGCCTCTACTTGATATAAGTACAGAAATTGAAGAAGCAAACAAGGATTTTCAAACTCAGTGGGAGAAGAATACTTTTCCTGGTTGGCCAAAAGAAACTGGCAGCGCTTTGACTCATGTAGGAGCACATCTAGAATTATCTGCGTTTTCTTCATGGGAAGAATTAGCATCTCTTGGTTTAGATAGACTAAAATCAGCTTTGATGGCACTAGGACTCAAATGTGGAGGTACTCTCGAGGAACGGGCGCAAAGACTGTTCAGTACCAAAGGTGAAGCTTCTTTAGATCCCAACTTATTAGCTAAGAATAGAAAAGGAAAGTCAGCTAAAAGTAAAGATTCTGAAAAACAAAAGGATATTGCTCGACTCGAAGCTCAAGTGTATAAACTCGCTGAATTAGTATCCAGTCAACGAGTAGCTACTAAGGAAAACGTACAAAGAAAGCAAGCGAGAACTGAAGGTGAAAGGGGAGATTCTGATGCAGAAGCAAGCGCAAGCGAATCAGAAGAAGAGGATGACAACGAGGTTCCATATAATCCAAAGAACTTACCTTTAGGTTGGGATGGAAAGCCCATACCTTATTGGTTGTACAAACTGCACGGTTTAAATATCAGTTATAACTGCGAAATTTGTGGAAATTTTACATATAAAGGTCCGAAAGCATTCCAGAGGCATTTTGCAGAATGGAGGCACGCGCATGGTATGCGTTGTCTTGGCATTCCGAATACAGCACATTTTGCTAATGTCACTCAGATTGAAGATGCTCTTGCTCTGTGGGAAAAACTCAAGGCACAGAAACAAGCCGAACGTTGGCAACCAGAACAGGAAGAAGAATTTGAAGATTCACTTGGCAATGTAGTTAATCGTAAAACATATGAAGATCTTAAACGACAAGGTTTGCTATAAAGTGTGCATCTGAATGAAATCTTATTACAATCTTTAATTATCAATTCTATCGCTCTTTTTGTAATCCCACTTATCGATTAAAATGTTTTCGCCAGTGAAATATTTTCTCATATAACTATTTTGAAATTTGTTGAATCCTGTCAGTATTAATAGAAACTATTAAATTAATATAAAACGGAGGCAATATTCACATGAATCTTTATTCGCGCTTATACGTGCATGTATGCGTAGAAAGAGATATTATTTCAGAACTTCACTTTGTATAATTTATTTTCACTAAATTTAGCTTAAAAGAAACATGAAATTTTATTTTTCTTTAAATTAAATTATTATTATAATTCTTTAAATTATGTTAGTTCTTATTTTCTATTATTCATTAATAGTAATTATAATAATAATTAAATTTATTAGAGTTAGAATTTTATCGAAGATTAAAAAATAAGATATAGGTTTTATACTCTAAAACTTATTATTATTATTAATATTATTAAATTATTATTTAAATTTTAATTAATATGAATATTGCAAATAATATGGCCTTTCACATTCTAGACGGTTCATAAAAAAAAAATATACAAAGTTGCAAAGAATTTTTTTCTTTCTTTCATTATATCAATTATTAGTAATAAAGATTTGAATGTCGCAATTTTCTTACCTGCTGTTGTTCTTATCATATATCTTTTATCTATATAATTATAAACACATCAGGTTTGTGTGTGTGTGTGTGTGTGTGTATATATAGATATGAAATATTTAATAAATCTTATATTTTTTCGGTTACTCTCTTTGCATCAGATAATATCGCGATGTTAGCGAATATTACATTTGGAAAGAACATTTAATATACATAAAAGCACATTAACTGTGATCACACATCCACTTATTATTTCAAAAACATTTGATATCTCTTTGGTCGCAGCACCATTAATACTAATGTAATCTGTCGTCATCTGTCGTCGGTTTGTCAGGCAGAAAGTACAAAATAATAGTTTCCAGGTTTTTTGTTTACATTGAACAATTAAGACTTTTGTAAAGAATATGTATCATAAAATTAAATATTTTTAGGCATGTATTTTGAATATTTTACTCCGGTAAGTTTCTTATATTGCGTTTAAAATAAATAGAATTACAGGTGATTAATTCTTTGGATATACAATCCTAGCATGCTAAATGTTCTCGTGTTTCATCGTTCGTGTTTTACAAATCTTTCAAGATTGCATCACGCATCATCAATCTGTTTACATGACGGATATTGTTAATACTATTTGCAAATTGCAAAACGTAAGATGCTCAGTCTACTATTATTGTTAAAATTTCATCATTCTAAGCAACAGCTTGGTATCTTTTGATACGTTTATATTCCGTTGATTAAAAATTTTGTATCGATATGTACCTAAGTATTTAACACAAGATGTACATTCTCAGCTTATATGTTGTGTTTTCAATATTTGTTACAGAATTATTATATTGTAAAGTAAGGATTATTAAAATTAGCCTCTATATTAATATCATTAAATCTCTTGGCAACTAAATTTGCAAATACTGAGTTATAAAAGAACTCTATAAAAAAGAGTTTCATGAGATCTTGCTTAAAAATATTATAATTATATTATCATTATATGTAGAAATATTTCTAATCTCAAAAGTTATTTCTTTAATTTAATCAAAGAATTATTGGTATGAATAAAAGATTTTTACAATCAACTGGTCACTAGAATGCGAAAAGTACACACAAGTGTATACTTTTTATACTGCACTTAGGAATTTCTAAATTGAATGATTTTGCAATTTATATCTACTAATCGATTTAGTTAATTCGTTCATTATTCCACACTAATATAGATTGATGAACGAGATAAAATACAACAATAGAACATAAGCATTTTAACTGATGCAATATCTGACATATAATTAAATATTAAAATTAAATGATATATTGAATATTTTATGGATCAAAAGACTTACGTTATATTTTTAAACTTATAGAAACAAATATTTTAAATAGTTTCTTATTTTCAAAAGGCATTTTATAAATATTTAGATTTTGTAAAAAAAAATATAGATTTAAGATATAGATTTAGATAATTTTTAAAATATTGTATCATCCAGTATTTACTATAATTAATGTTATTATGAATATTTTTATAAGTCAAGTAATGCTGGTCACTAGTGACCTCTGTGACGCAAATAAATAATAATCACCGATGACACCCGACATTCAAAACACATTAAAACATTTTTGCAGATTTCTTCAATGTGTTCAATATATGCAATTTCTTATTGTTTCAATATATAATTATGAAACATAAAAGTATCTTAGAAACATAAATCTTTTTTTAAGAGAGTATTCACTTCTTTACTGTATATACATAAGAGTAAAAAATATGTTTATTGTATTGTAACATATCCATATGTTTTTTCTTTTTTTTCTTTTTTTTTTTTGTTAAATATATGCATCAGTGTGGAATAATTAAATGATCGAATTCTCTATAAGGCTCATACATAGTACACGCATGTGTTTTATATTTAGCCAATAAAATGAATTCTTGCTTTACGAAATGCTTCGGATACGCTCGTTAAAGCGATACCAATCGGTGTCGCTAGACGAGGAGGGACGGATGTCTTGCGATAGTTACTTTAGCTTACAGCTTCCAGCTGTCATACTCATTATAGTATAGCCATATTGGATTATGACAGAAGCGAGAGAGCATATACTTGTGATATGAAATCCATATAGTATATATTACACATTCAGAAATAATTTGTTCTTACAATATACATTGAAATAAATTAATCTTTTGACACATGCTACCGTTTGTATTCAATAGAATAAGTTTGAGATATGCAGGATTCTCTTTTTATTTAATGGTTTAATGATTCTAAGTTCTAATTTTAATCATGAGACTTATTTACATTAAAAATGTAAAGTATAAATTAAATAATTATTTATTAACGATAAATACGTATTTTATTTTTGTTAAATATCACTTTTTTTCTTTCTTTGGTTGTCTAAAACTGCATTCCATAAACGTAAGAAAAGAATAAAACAAATGACAACTAATTTTAAGGATTAATTTCAATAAATATTAATCTGAATGAGCGTTTGTTAGGCGAAAGTAAAAAAAAACCAAGAAAGAAATTTTATTTTCTATTTGATTGAATGAAAGTAGCACACTCGAAAAAAAGTAATTTGTTTCGATGAATAGTGCAAGAGAAAGGTGCACTTTAACTTTTCGTCTTAGACGTCATAATTCAATATAGCTGAGAAGACCAGAAGTCTTGACACATAGCGATATTCTCCGAGATGCGACAATATAGTGTCAACGAAGCGTCCTCGATAAAATATCGAAGGGGAAGAAACTTAGGCACGATAGGTCGCATGTTGTCGGAGTTGCGAGAAATGCTGGTTTCCCCTTGTCCCTTATTCGACGCTGTCTACGACTGCACTGTCGTCCAAAGTGTGAAGCCAATTAAAGATCATCATGTTCCTTTCGTACTTGGACAATTGATTTCCGCGTTCCCTCTCAACGTCCCGGACTGTTAACGCGTGATTTCGCTCCTTTCGCCCGATCAAGGAAGCACCAGGAACTCCTGCGGCCGTCCCGGGCACCAGTAAAGTTGTTCCGTGAGAGCTCTGCGCCGCGGTAGCAGCTGCTTCTAGCTGATCCAGGTTAAATTCACTCTGCGAGAGACGCTCCAAAGCGCGATACGTCGTCAATAGTCTAACGACAACAAAGGATGCTTAGTATATAATTACATTTATAAAAGGAAAAAAAAATAAATAAATAAATATTCTTTTGTGTCGAAAAGAAAAAGAGGAAAAATTTCGATTGCTCACCTTCGTCGTATGTAGTTTTGTCGGACCTTTTTATTAACGGATCTGACGAGATCCGCTCCGGTGAAGGGCACGGGTGGTGGCGGCGGCGGTGCCGGTGGTTGCGGCGGTAACTGCGGCACCGATTGAGCGTTTGAGGAGGACTGCGATTGATGCTGCGATTGCGACTGTTGCTGCTGAGGCTGCTCCTGCGCGGTTCCCCCATGCGGACTGGGAAGCTGAGATGTGCTAGCCACGGGCTCGCCTACGGCAACCCAGGTACTGCAGGACCTCGAAGCGTGGTCGAGCCTGGCGTGTTCCAGCAGCAGGGTATTCCGCTGGGCGGTATCGAGAGCCAGGGCGGACACCGCCGTCCGAAGGCCACCGGCCCCGGCTGCGTCCGGGCTTGGAAGCTGCGACACATCGCTCGTACTGAAGCTCTTACGTAATCCTAATGCCGACGACAGGACGCCGCAGCTGCGGATCAGCTCGTTCTCCTCCTCGAACCATAAAATCTCGGGAATGTCCGCCGGCCTGAACGAAATTGCAATATATGTCAAATCGCATAGATGAGATAACGATCACGAGTTTCCTTTCGTCACGCGTGACGACGCCGACCCGATGGTATCGCGCGGGAGAGAAACGTAAATAATACGGGAACGTAAATAATACGAACCTGTTACCCTGAATCTGTCGGGAGTCCGGTTTTGGAGAAGGCCCCCGTCCGGCGAGTTGCGCGTCGCTGTAAGACTTGAAAGTGACCAACCTGTTGGCTCCGCGCAAATCGCTCGCGATCGACGACACGCTGAAGAGTGACAGGTCGGTGGTGACGCTTTCGTGACTCGGCGAACGCAGCATCCGCGAAGTGACTTGTAAGGCAGGGCATTGCGTGGTCGTCAGACTACCGCCGCCCCCGCCTCCCCCTCCGCCGCCGCTGTCATTGCTGCAGCATTGTGCGCACATAACCGTGGGTATCGGCGAAGCGGGCTTCGTTTCGTTTTCGGACATTTTGACGTTTCTCGTTTCCGTCCGTCGATGTCCGTTGTTTCTTTTTTTTTTTTTTCCCTTCTTATTTAATTTCCTTCTGTCGCACGGCAGTTCCGTCGTTCCGTTTCTTCCGCGGTGATCGGTGGTTGACTTACGTCATGCCAAACATTCGACACTCCTCCATTTCCAGAGTAATAACTGCAATATACATATACAGAATAGTTTAGAAACATTGAGAAATTGAGATAGGAAAAAATTGATCTATACGACTTATATATAATTTTTTTTCTTAATGACAGATACATACATTATTTCCGCTCGAGTGTGTCGATATCCAATGTGACCTGAATCTACAATCTAGATAAATCTGGCAGGTATGGGGAACGACGTTCTTTGAGGCTAAAAACTTGTGTAGAGACAATGCGAGGTGAATAGAATGCATTATCGCGATACAAAAGTCTTCTGCATTCCCCCATACACTTGCCAGATTTAAGTTTATGTAATTTTTTCTTTATCCTAACAAGATCGCTTTCAAGATTATCACTTCAAGATAGCGTGACGAATCAATGGTCAATGAGCTCAATGGTCTCATAGAAGATTTTCAACATTGCTTCTGGGAATAGAAAAAAACATTTCTATTGGTGTATCGTTTAAGAAAATTATTTTCATCATATTCATGAAGATCATATTGATTTATAAAAAATTTTACAATAATTTATTTTTCGTAACCAATTCCATTATTTTTGGAATAAATTTTGGAAAACGTTGTTTTCAAGAAAAATTGATTTTGTAATATATAATTATTTAAAAATTATAATAATTACTAATTTACAAATGTTAAAAAGAAAATCGTAATTAGCACATATTACGAATTTATTTTATCAACCAAAACTAATTGCATGTACGATAAAACTTATTAGTAGCAGCTAGTATAATCAATATATAAATATAAATATATAAATATAAATATAAATTATAATATAAATATAAATATAAATTATCGCGTATTACTTTACGCGATTGGCATATCATAATTTAATATGTCGTAGCTAAATAAAAATCAACTAGAAAAACGGTTTTTTTTGTATGCTGATATATTGTTAAAACAGTTTTTATCTTATGAAATATGTAACATAAAAGTACATTTATTTATAGTCTGTAAAGATAAATATGGCGAGACGACAATGTAAATAGATATTATATAGATTACATGTGATCCCGCGTGTGTGAACGAGTTAGAAATGAATAGACTATTATCTAATCGCAAGTCCTTGATCTAATCGGTAAAGCTGGAACGTGCAAGTAAGGTGCTAAACGCCTTACAATGCCGTCACCACGTGGGCGTGGTGAAATATATTCTGTCTCGTGATATATGCGTTTATAAAGTATGCAATAAAGCATATTCTGCATTGTTACTCGATCGAGTAGCAATTTTTCATAAAGCAGGATATATTTATATTAGTATATAAATAGTACGTAAATTTTTAAACATTATCATTTTTTTTTTTTTTTTTAATAAAGTACCATATACAATACACAGTTTTCAAGTTCAGTCGATTGCGAAACAACTTTGTTTTCTGCGAGGTATACTTTTAATGCACGTGCGATTGAACTTGTTGAGCTCGTTAATTACGTAAAATTGAATAGACTTTACTTTTCTTGAAATAAAATTCAAGTTATTAAAAAATCGAATTTAATCGAAACTAAAAAACTATAATAGATAATAGCTTCCCTTGGAATTTCTTGTAAGGGATAATGAAAAAATTTTTTAAAGAATTTATTATTAAAATTTATAAATTTATTTTCCAATCAGGCATAATATTGAAAAAAATTCTCAAAATTATCAATATTTAATTTAATAATAAATATGTAACTTATAAATTTAACTGCTAAATCATCTTCTCTTTTTCCCCCCCCCTCTTCTCTTCTTTTTCTATCTATTTCTATCTCTATCTCAAGATCGATTAACTATAACCTGGGTTAACTTTTTTCTTCTTCGCTCTCTGTATTGTGACAAAGAACAATGCCTAAGTCGAAGCTAGCTGAATGAAATATCATTACAACTGGTGTATAGACAACAGCCTACATAATCGATAATTACATTATTCTCTGAAGTCAAGGCTCAAAAACTTTTCCTTATGATTGGTATCTCGATTTACGGCTTCAGTCAAATATCGACTTTCTCAATCATTTTAGTATGTCATGCGTGTCATACAGCGAAAATCAAATAAATTATCACAACATATATTTTCTACTCTTACCTTACCTTACCAATATTAATTTCGATTAAGGATATATAGAAAGTTAATAGCCTTTGACACATATTATATATCGAAATGTTCTATAGAGGAAGATATTGGAAAAAGATATGAAAAGATATTAATATATTCGAATGTTTTCGAATAAATTTAAAAACTAAATTTAAAATGTGATGATTTCTACATTTTTCAATTGCAAAAATAATTCATTTCTAATTTATATATGTATTATAGTGTTAATATATTTTTCGTTATATCATATAAGAAAGAGATGGAGAAATATAAAAATGCATATTTTTCAATCTTTCTTATTATGTTAAATTTAGTTTTCTAAGTCTCCATCTCCATCTTTTAAAATTAACTTTTTCATTATAAACCCTCATTAGCTCTTCTGTAAAAATTGTCCTCGTTAAATGGAAATATATGGCAAGTAATTATACATGACCTGCTTTGCAATAATTTCCTGTAGGCTAATTGTAAATATAATCATGAACTGGCTATTACGGTTGACGAATTGCAATTGCGCGTTACGAGCTGCACTAATTAAACGGAATTGCAAACAATATACGCGTTCAACCAATTTATGCACCAACTGTGCTAACTGAACATCGTGCTTTCTTTTCGGAGTTAAGTTTCCATCGCGATTACGAGCGTTGTTTTCCGGATGTTCTCGTCGTCGGCGATGGAGGACCCCCGATAACGAAGCGAAGTGCCGCGCCGCGTATTCTATAAATACGAGTAACGAGTATATATTCACCACTTTCGGCGCACCTAACGTATCTCGCACTGTCAGCCACATGACGCGCCGCGTTTCGTCGTGCCGAGGATGCCGCCGTTACGGACGGCGTGTCCGTCAGCCGGCCGCCCTGGCCTCGGCAGAGCCAGGAGGCGAAGCAACCCCTCGCCAGTGAAACGGCGTGTCGGAGATTTACCCACGGGCCACGGCCGTGAGAGCACGTGAGGAAAGGGGAACAACGACCACTGTCAACACACCGCGTTCTCACACGCGTTCTCGGACGCGTCGGCTACGCCAAGGAGAGATGCGATTGTTTCCCCCTGGGCTCTCTACGGTCGTCGATCGTGGCTCGGGCCCTCGCTCACTGCACAGGCGTCGCTATCGATCGATAGCTGTACTCTCCTCTCCGTCTCTCCGAGTTTCGCCGCACCCCACGCGATTCGGACTTCTCTCCGCTACCGAGCTAACGACCGATCCGCATCCCTTCTTCCGCATCCCTTATCAACAGTCGTCGTGGACGCGCTCGGGATCTAAGTGTCCTAGAACTCCCCCCTCCCCTCCCCCCTCCCCTCCGAGTTAACGGAAATTTGTACAGACAATCCCGTGATTACCAAGGGGATGATTCACAAGGGGAATCCCTCAAGATTCCTTAAGTATAAATATTGTAAAAGTTTAAAAGTTTATAATTAAATGTAAACAATTTAGTTTTTGACCTTATTTTTTGACTGGCTAACATTTAATGACAATCATTTATAGATTATATCTGATGAGTATCTGATTTAAACAGAAATGTATATATGTATATTTCACAGGAAGAATATCATACAATTAACGTGCAAATAGATTTATTTAAACTTATGTTATAATACAGTAGATATGTTTTAATACAACTGAAATTTTTAATTATAGCATTTATAGAAATACATACAAAAGAACAAGACACGACGGTGTAATTTACAGACACGAATTAATTTGCGCTTTAAAGAGAACTGTCTTTATAATACATTACTGTATTATTAGTTTAACTTTCTTATTATTTCCCTCTTAACTTCTTCTTTTTCTTCGTTATGATTCAGCAGTATTTGGTGAAAGATTGATCGAAATGCTCGGCCCAACTTTTACCCAGGGATCTCCATGTCGAAGAACGTTCACAGTGATTAGACATTTTCGACAATTTCTGTACGTTCCTTGCTTTAGTTTAAATTAAAATGCGGAAGAATTTTCTTTCTTCGAGAGATATATTTTGTTTCGAAAATGATCGTGACCAAGTCCGTGCGGATGCAGAGGGACGTAAACAGCCAAGTTGGTCAAAGTTAGAATGGGACGGAGTGGGCGGCACACGCGGTGAGGAGACAAGAGAGATGAGAGCTAAATAGAGCCAAAGAGACGAGATGACGCGATTAGCACATATAGCGACTACAGGCTGTGTGGTTTAGGGCCTCGGCCTCTCTTAGTTGGCGACGGTGTCTCTCGCGAGGAGGACTCGCCGCCGTACCGGATCCAATAATATACTCTTGGCGAGTCCGTCTGGTCCGGCTAAGATATTCTCACGTCCTCACGAAAACGGTAAGTCCATCATGATTCGTGTTCACCAGATGCGATTTTAAGGCGATTTCAAGTAAAATGAAAGGAACAAGGTGTTTTCAATTTCATCAAGTATGATGAATATAAAAGAGTATTACATGGCATTCTAAACTGCAATTTATTTTACTTATATAAAAACTTTCATTCCCTATTGCACAGTTTTTGAAATGTTTACAATTGCTTAAAAAAATTCGCAATGGGAGGAAAATACTCTTATATATTTTCTGTAAAATAAAGAAAGGGAAATATTCTTGTACTAGATAATTTATCGTTTTGCTCTAAACAATCTCATTCAAGTTTTTAATGGAAAGATTATTTCTGTTGAAAGTATTTGTTAAAAGCAGACAAGTTTAAAAGTGAAAAACTTTTATAAAAAAAAAATTATTGCAATTTGGAGTGACAAAATAATTTAATTCACTCGGAAAGAAGGCTTCTGAAAGCTTAAATCTTGAATCTTTCGAAGTTAACGAGATAAGAATAGCAACGTCGATTTCGTAATTTCCTCAATAGCGAGTGGTTTAAATACAAATTAATTTACATTGTTATTTAAATGCGATTAATTGTTTCAAGAAATGCAAATGTACCCTTTCTCGTAGCTTCCTGATTACGCTTGTGCTGAGGGATTCGATATATATAAACGTTTGAACAAGTTTATAAATATCTGCGTCTTTTTACCAGCGACGATGGCAAGCTCCTCAGAGGGAGACACCGTCAAGCCGACGAATACGAATAAATCAACGACTGGAATCAACATTCTCGCATCCATGCAGGGTGCGAGGAAACGACGACGATTAGAATCTCTAACAACGAACTCGGAGATCCCTAAGAAAACGCAGCGACGCGACGAGTCATGCAACTCCTATGTGTAAGAAATATTCATAGTAATTAGGCAGAATTTCGCACGTTATAATGAACAATTATAATTAGCAGCAGATTTTTAAAAATTAATTAGCGATGAAGTTAAATAAAGATATTTATTGTGTTTTTAAACAAAAGAAAATTTTAATTAGGCAAGAAAAGAAAAATGTAAATACATTTACATTTTGGCATGTATTAAAACAGCCTACATATATGAATAGCAACCCTTTGCATTAGAATATTTTTTTAAATAAAAAATATTTAAATTTAAGAGGGAAATTCAAGTAACTTTAATTATAGATATAAGAAGCATTTATGATTTTTTTGGTCCATTTTATCAAATGAAGTTTACTTCTCATGAACAAAGACACTGTTGGAGTTCTTTTGTAAAAGTTCTTTTGTAAATTTTTATCAAAAATAAAATATCAGCTCTTGGCAATCATTATTTCATTATAATAGTTCTACATTTGGTCGAAATTTACAATTCATTGAAAAAAAAATAATACAAATTCAACTCAACCAATCGAAGAATATTGTTTAAAACTGAATGAAGTATTCTTATATGGATTCGATTTCTTCATCTTTATCGTTAGTGAGGCAACCGAAAGAAAAATTGAGCAGATAGAGGAGAAAAAGGACTCGTTCCTGTCACGTCTGAAGAGGAAAGATCAAGCAATACCAATAAATCCGCAGGATGTTAAAATATCACGAGTTAGCGAAGCAGGCGTGGGAAGAAATGATGCAACTAGATTGAGGAAAACGATACAATGGCTCGAGGAAGGAGCGCGAAGGCTACGCGAGGATCTGGCGAATGTGCGGACGGAGCTACATGAAGAGCGAAGGGCATCCAAAATCGCTAAAAGGGAGTTCGAAACTGCTCTCAGAGAAGCTAGATTGGCTGAGGCTGCCAAGTATCAACCGATCATAACCGAGCTGAAGACCAGGTATATGAATCGTAATTTATAAAATTCATAAAATTCCTAGATCTTCAATTTTGTTATTTCTCATAGCAGTTATTTTTGTTTCCACATTTGAAAATTCACCCTCAGACAAATAATCAACTTTTAAAACTTGAATTTTGAAGACGACCTAATTAGAAGAAGAATTAAAGCACATTAAAAAGGATATTTTCATTTAGAATAATTAATTCTGCGTCGCCATTACCGTCGCCATCGTCATCGCCGCCGTCGTCGTCGCCGCCGCTCAAATCGGATCCCGTGAAAGACGAGAGTCATAAGCGTGAATTGTCAACCCTTAGGAAACGCTTAGCCGACGCTGAGGGTACAATACGCAGACTTGAACAATTAATGAAATCGCAAGCGAACATTATTCGCAATAGCAATGGTACTTCTTCCTGCGGCGACGCGCGCCGCCTGGAAGCAGAAATGCGAAATCTTCGCGCCGAAAACGAAAAACTCGAAGAAAAATTGCGTGTAAGTATCCTCTCTAAATTTTCTAAACTTGTAAATTTAAAAGTAATAAACTATAAAAATAAACCGTAACCGTGATAAATTATAATAATAGGAACATCTGTCTAATAAAAATTGATGTATTAATTTTTCTTATTAATAATTCGAATCGAATGGATTTCTTTTTTAAACATGATTCTTAAGTAAATAAATTTTCATCATTGATTTATTGTAGTTGATCATTATATTCGTTGTTGTTTTTTTTTTTTCTATTTTTCGTTGATAAGAGATATCTTTACATGTAGATCGCTGTGAACGCCGAGAAAACTCGTATCGCCGAGATACGAGTTCAACGGGAGAATCATGAAGCTGAACTTTCCGCATTGCGAAAATCACTTCGCAGCGAAACTATAAAAATGGTAAGTGCAGTAGTTTGGGTATCGGAAGTATCAACAGCCCCGTCATTAAACAGCTTAATCGCTCTTAATAATTATACGGCCGTGACGCTCGAAGCAAGAATAGCGAGACGTAATATGAATCTGAAAAGCGATCCACCACTCGGGCACGTAAAAATATCCTCCTTCACGAATACAAGAGCACTACCGTCAGCACGAGACTCGTCGAAGATGCTTATTAAAAAATTGTGCCCTGCGGTATTGGTCTGCACTAACTAGAAGAAAGTCTGTCCAGAATGCAATAGCCCGGTCTCACGGCTTATTCGGACAAAAGTTTTACCGACACGGCGAATGTTTGCCATAGCATCGACGAAAAAAAAATATCTTCGCTGTGCGATTATCCGAAAATGATCACGAGTTTCCCACGCTATTCTTGGGTTCAGGAATTTCTATGTGACTCGACAATTTGCAAATTCCAAAGCAAATCGTACATGTAGAACACAAATATTACGTCTTCTCGCAAGAAATATTGCTTTAAATAATTTATATTTAAGTGACTCTCGAATATAATTTTTTGAATTAATATGGATTAATATAGGACTAACATGGATTAATAATAAACGCCCTTTAATCGCTCGATTAATCGTTCATTATCTAGAACTTGTAAATTTTTAAAGAAGTGAATTTTTTATCTCTTTTTATACTGAAATATCAAAATAAAAACAGAATATTTTTGATAATAATTTTTTCTCAAATCATGAAGAATTAAGATTTCTCTCTTTCGAAATTTTCGCTTTCAAGAGATTACTAATGCAAATTATATTCAATTTAATGCAAAAATACATTTATTTTAATCTCTGTCGCTACTGCATTCTAATCGCATTGGATGTTATATTTAATTTAAAAATATTTATTTGTACTTATCCGTTCGGCGTGTAGTTTGAGCTTAAAAAAACACTTCCTGCTTCCTAGCATGCCACATTGCGGTCAAAATCATGCAGTGATGTCGCCTACCGCATTGCCAGCGTGGACTAATACGATCGCGACCTCATCTCTGGCAAAGAGCCAAATATCGAGGATAAAGAGACTGAGCTGATTTGGTATTTGGGACGACCAAATTAAAATAAAAATCTCGTTATAAATCTCGCTGAATGGAAGTCTAATGAAGATTAATTCGAACACCAAATTTGCGAAAAAAAATTTTATCATGAATCTAGATGGTAGTTACATGATGGTTATAAAAA